CAGCCTTCAGGATCCAGTGCAGGTGTTTTCTCCTCCAGGAAGCCCTCTAGACTCCTCCAGACTGATTAAGTATCATCCTCTAAGTTCGAAGGCCTGAAACACAGGTGCATCAATGCCTTTACTGAACTATATTTTAAAATCTACTTTATGTTAATCCCCTTATTAGAATGTGAAATCTAGTGAATAGGCCTCCCCTTCAGCTGTGTGTCCCTAGGACCCAGTGCACAGACTAGCTTGCAGTTGAGATTTCAATAAATATTTATTTAGGCAAGGAAAGAAGGAAGGGAGAATGTTAAATAGGAGGTCCAGAAAACACACACACACAAACACACATACCTGTGGGAATGGTGAAGAGTGACAGAGTGCTCATCCTGAAGGCAAAGGTCCAAAATGCTCTCCCTTTTGGAAGGATAGCAATGCTGGGAAACAATTTTTTTTTTTTTTTTTTTTGAGACAGAGTCTCGCTTTGTTGCCCAGGCTAGAGTGAGTGCCGTGGCATCAGCCTAGCTCACAGCAACCTCAAACTCCTGGGCTCAAGCAATCCTCCTGCCTCAGCCTCCCGAGTAGCTGGGACTACAGGCATTCACCACCATGCCCGGCTTATTTTTTCTATATATATTAGTTGGCCAATTAATTTTTCTATTTATAGTAGAGATGGGGTCTCGCTCTTGCTCAGGTTGGTTTCGAACTCCTGAACTCAAACGATCCGCCCGGCTCGGCCTCCCAGAGAGCTAGGATTACAGGCGTGAGCCACCGCGCCCGGCCCAATTTTTTTTTTTAATGCTGTCCTTTACATAAAACTTGGAACAGAGAAGACAGTGCTGAGCAGCCAGGAGCCTCCTGCCATGTGCTTGCTGGCTTGACAGATCTGGTATACATGCTTTGAATTCAGTTGTCATCTGTTAAAGTGTTTACTCAGTATGTCAAGCTAAGTCTTAGCACTGTAAGTTGTTTCTGAATTGGGATATAGGTTTATTAATCCTCAGAAACCCCAAGGGCATATGAAAAGGTGCTCAAAGGCAAGGCACAGTGGCTCACACCGGTAACCCCAGTGCTCTGGGAGGCTTAGGCAGGAGGGTTGTTTGAGGCTAGGAGTTCAAGACCAGCCTGGGCAACACAGTGAGATTCCATCTCTACAAAAAATAAAGAAAATTAGCTAGGCACAGTGGTATATGCCTCTGGTTCCAGCTACTCAGGAGGCTGATGCAGCAGGACTGCTGGGGCTCAGGAGTTGGGGCTGCAGCGAGCTCTGATTGCACCACTCCACTCTATTCGAATGACACAGACTCTATCTCTTAAAAAAAATCATTATTCATTAGGGAAATGCAAATTAAACATACAACTAGATAACATTACACATCTAATCTATTAAAATTGCAAACTTTTTTTTTTTAATTTGTAACAAGTTTTTTGTAGAGATGGGGGCTCACTATGTTGCCCATGCTGGTCTTAAACTCCTGGCCTTAAGTAATCCTCCCGCTTCAGCTTCCCAAAGTGCTGGAATTACAGGCATGAGCCACCAGGCCTGGCCTGGAATGGCAAACATTTTTCAAACTGAAAATACCAAGTGTTGGCCAGGACACAGAACTGGTGGGAATGCAAAATGTATAGCTACTCTAGGAAACATTTTTGTAGTTTCTTATAAACACACACTTATAATCCAGAAATCCTACTTCTAGATATCTACTTTAGAAATATGAAGACTTAAATTTACACAACCTATAAGTGAATGTTTACAGAAGCTCTGTTCAAAATTTCCAAAATGTGAAACAACTCAAATGTCCATCAGTAGGTAAATGGTTAAACAAATGGTGGCATATCCATATAATAGAACACTACTCAGCAATAAAAAGGAATGAAATATTGATATACAAACAACATAGATGAATATAAATGCATTACGCTAACAGAAAGAACCTAATTCCAAAAGGTTATATATTATATGACTCCATTTATAAGGCACTGTGGAAAAGGCAAAACTCTAGGAACAGAGACCAGGTTGCTAGGAGTTGGGGTGGGAGGAGGGTTTGACTACAAAGGGGCAGCTTGAAGGAAGTTTTTGAAGTGATGGAACTGTTCTCTATTCTTATCTATCTTTGAATAAGATGTGTTTAAAATATTTGTTATGGGCCGGGTGTGGTGGCTCACGCCTATAATCCTAGCACTCTGGGAGGCAGAGGAGGGTGGATTGCTCAAGGTCAGGAGTTCGAAACCAGCCTGAGCAAGAGAGAGAGAGACCCGTCTCTACTATAAATAGAAAGAAATTAATCGGCCAACTAATATATATAGAAAAAATTAGCCGGGCATGGTGGCGCATGCCTGTAGTCCCAGCTATTCGGGAGACTAAGGCAGGAGAATGGCTTGAGCCCAGGAGTTTGAGGTTGCTGTGAGCTAGGCTGATGCCACAGCACTCTAGCCCTGACAACAGAGTGAGACTCTGTCTCACACACACACAAAAAATTGTTATGGCCCAGTACAGTGGCTCATGCCTGTAATATCCTAGCACTCTGGGAGGCTGAAGTGGGATGATAGCTTGAGGTCAAGCGAACTCACTAGGACCAGCCTAAGCAAGATTGAGACCCTGTCTCTACTAAAAAAATAAAAAAATAACTTAGCTGGGTAACTGAAAATAGAAAAAAATTAGCCAGTCATGGTGGCACACACCTGTAGTCCCAGCCACTTGGGAGGCTGAGGCAGAAGGATTGCTTGAGCCCAGGAGTTTGAGGTTGCTGTGAGCTAGGCTGACACCACAGCACTGTAGCCTAGAAAACAGAGAATCTATCTCAAATAAATAAATAAATAAATAAAATAAAATATTTCTTCTGTGTGAAAAATCATAGAATTATTCACCAAAACCAGTGTATTATAATATATATACATTTTTAAAAATGTAATACCAGTTTATTTATAGAAAGAAGCCCCTCAAGGGACGAGGCAGTTTCTGGCCTCATCACAAAGGGTAGTAACCAAACATGGGGCTGGAACACTCAAGCAGGACAGAAATGGCATGGGCCACCTGGACTGAGAAACCACCAGAACTCACTAGGTGCAGCTCCTGGACTGCAGTGTGCATGTTTGTGTGTGTGTTTGCCAGTAGGCAATTTGGTCCAATCTCATTCAAAGTGTTTGTGTATTCCTTTCATTTCACTTGAGATCCCAAAGTTGTAGATGACAGGAAGTAAGATGTTCAGTCATTTGGGGTTGTAATCCTACCCTCTGCCAGAACCCCCCTGGGTCTGCCTATTTCCCTTTAGGCTACTTGAAACTGCAGGCTATTTGTGTCCAGACAGTGATCATTTCCTCGGTTCTTCACACCTTGCCAGGGGCCCTCCTCCACAGAATTCATCATGCACATCACACAAGTGGCCATTTAAGACTCATAACCATCTCTGCCACAGTTGGGGGCACAAATATCCCACGAGGTAGAGTACAAATAAACGGTGACAGTAGAGTTGTTTCCTCCAGCCTCATCAGATGCCTGTTGCTTTGCTCTGCATGGCCTCCATCCCAACCAAGGAAGGGTTTTTTCCCATTGCCAGGCATGGAGACGGCAAAGGCTACACACCAAACAGTGGCCCGAAGACTGCCCTGTGCTACGTCCTATCAACTTGGCCAACTTTTACTCCATGCCAAGCAAGGGCGGAGTCACAAACAGGTGGCTTAAGAGCTGCACCTGCCCACAAATGTGCTAGTTTCAGTCTACACAGTATACACATTTTTCAATTAGTTGCCGACATTTTAAAATTGGGAGATTTCCCATGAAAATCAGATCTCCAGCTGCTCTCAAAAAATCGGATGTTTGCCTTTGCTTTGTTAGTAAAAAAAAAAAAAAAATCAGAGCTGGTGTTACCAAGTGGCACTTTCCACAGGCCTCCCTTTAGTGGGAGAATGGATAACAGATGCCATCTTTAGGTGGAGCAGGTGCCTTCCTGAAATCCCTTTCCTCTCCCTAAGTGCCCCGCCCTTCTTTCTTTCTTTTCCTGGCTTGCTTTCCCAGACCTTTGCGGGCACTACCCCCCTAGTAGGTGCTTAGCTGCCCTAACTATGAAAAGATGAACAAGACTCAGCCTTCAGGAAGTTTACTACATGGGCACAGGTATTAGGGTTTTTAAGTGGAATGGGTTTAGGGGTGAGGGAGGCATTCCATGCAGAGGGAACCAACTGAGCAGTGCAGACGGAGGCAGAATGCAAGAGACTATAGGATAAGACGTGCAGCCATGGGTATCTCCCAGGTGGGCAGGTGCATTATCACGAACAACACAACCAGCATATGTGGGGGTGAATTAGTAATTAGTCATTCACAACACGGCCAGAATTTGATAAACAGGAAATGGAAGGTAAGGTGCTCAGCCTTTAGAATCACGCAGACGCCTGTTGGAGTCCTTACGCCTCCACAAGTCACTCCCATTTCCGGACCTCCTTAAAATCGGGACATTAATACCTGCTTTAGAGCATGGCAGTGAGGCGTAAAGGAGAGCGTGCACACAGCTGGCACATAGTAGGGGGCTCCGCAGTCGCTAATTCCCGCACTAGAAGGAGCTAAATAAATAATTGGTGGAGGCCAGGCGCTGTGACTCACGCCTGTAATCCTAGCACTCTGGGAGGCTGAGGCGGGAAGCATCGCTTGAGGTCAGGAGTTCGAAACCAGCCTCAACAAGAATGAGATCCATCTCTACTAAAAATAGAACAATTAGCAGGGCATGGGAGAGAGGTTGAAGCTGCAGGATCGCTTGAGCTCAGGAGTTTGAGGTTGATGTGAGCTAGGCTGACGCCACGGCACTCTAGCCCGGGTGACAGAGTGAGACTGTGTCTCAAAAAACAAGCAAATAATCGGTGGATAAGTCCCAGAGCCACAGACAAGCGTCCGACCTCGGGCTGCGTCCAGCGTCCTGCGTCCTGCATCCTTTGGGCCCGGGTCAGCGGCGCGCACGCGCGGCCAGGCGCGCGCCCGGCGGGGACGGGGTGGGGTGGGGCGCGCGGCTGCGCGTGCGCGGAAAGCCTGGCGGGCGCGTGGCACGATCCCAGAGTTCGCGGGCGAGCTAGCGAGTGCTCAGAGCCGGCTTCGTTTGAGGTCGGCAGCTGCCCTTGTAAGAGAGCATTTGCTAGTGGGTACTCCAGCCGTGGCCACTTTTCTGAGGCGCGAAGGACCCCTAGTCAGTGTGTGAGACAGAGCCTGGGAGCTCCTTGGGGCTGAGGTAACGGCACATGGCGGCCCGGTGTCCCGGTGCCCCCGCCAGGTTGGCTTTGCGTTTCTTTTATCTCTGAGGGAAGTTTCTGTCCCGAGCCCCACAGCTCGCTCGGCAGCTGCAGTGTATTCCTCGAGTCCCCGTAGGTCGCCTTCTCAGCCCCAGGTCCCTGGGACGCCTGGCAGGCACACCGACGTCCGGCCCGTGCCTCTGCAGGGCCCGGGCGGAGGAAGGTGCGGCGGTGGCGGCGGCTGGGCCCTCGGGCAGCCTGCCCCGCGCGGGTGACCAGCCCAGGGACCGTGCTTCCCCCCACCCCACAGCCAGCTCCGCTCACCCTACCTTTAGCAAAACCTTCTCCATAACTAGTGTTCCTTCTGCTCTGTAACACCCTCTGGCCCAGGCAGTTGCAGTGAAAGCGAGACTTCTTCCATTGAAACACTTCTGTAACATCATGCCTTAATGATGTGAATGAGTTTCTGGCTTTCAAATGCCCGATTTCACCTGGGAAGTAAATTTTGGAGTCATGGCACTCAATCAGATCTCCGTTCAGCTCCGACTGAATCTTGGCATCTGGGGAAGTGGACAGAAAGATGCAAACAAGTATACTTTGCTGAGCAGCTTTTATTTTCAGAGGTCTAGTTCCTTCATTTGTGCATCTGCAGGCAGTAAGTCCGTCACAATATCCTGCAGTCCACCTAGAATCTCTCTGGATGTCTTATGGCACCTCAAACTTGGACATATCCAAATATAGACTCCAAGTCTTTCCCTCAAAAATTTGCTTACCAAGGCTCCTTTGTTTTCAGGAAGTGGCACTTTTATCTCTTCAGTTAGTTGCCCAAGCAATGGGGAGTCATCCTTGACTATTTTCTCTCTCCCACCCCATCAAGTCACAAAATTGTCACTAGACATCTTCTTAGGCATCTTCCTAATCAGTCCCCTTCTCTTCATCTCCACTTTTATCTCTGTAGGCCAGGCTACTCTTAGCTTCTGCCTGGAACCACAGGAGTCTCTTAGCTGGTCTCCTTTCATCTGCTCCTGTTCCGGGTTGTTTCCCACATAACAGCCAGAGGGACTTTTTTTTTTAAGTCACAGCCATCTGGTCATGTCATCTTTTTATTACACCCTACAGTGCCTTCTGATTGTTCTTAGGATAGACTCCACAATCCATAACCTGGTTTATAAGAAAGGGCCTTATCCTTTCTCTATACTTTCTTCCTAGATGATCTCATCCTTTCCAGTAGCTCCACATACCATCTAAATACTGATGACTCAAATGTGTATTTCTGTCCTCATTTCCATCCCTTGCACAGCAGGAGACTCCATCCACTTGGATGGATGTCTCATAGGCCTCTCAGACTTAACCAAAACAACTATTTATTCCTCCTGCCCTCTCTCCGCAAATCTTTCTCTAGAATCCTTCCTCACCTCAGTAAAGAGTACGTACCATTGCAAAGGTCAAATACCTAAGAGACATTCTGATTCCCACATCTAGTCCATTAGTTAGTCTAAAATATACCCCAACTATTCACTAACTACTAAAACTCCAAGTCCAAATCAGCAGCTGCTTTTTCTTGGACTACTACAGAAGCTTCCTAATTTTTCTCCCTGCTTCTGCCCTTGTCCCATTACAGTTCATCTTCCTCTTAGCTGGCAAATATTTAGATATTTCTAAAGCATACATCAAAACCATTTCTTTTCTCTTTATAAAGCCCTTAGCATAAAATCTGGACTCTTTACAATGGCCTACAACACTTACATGGTCTATCCCATGCCTGACACTCTGACTTCATCTGCCTCCTCTCTGTCTTCATTCTCAATGTTCTAATTACATTGACATTTCTGTCCGTTAAACTACCAATCAAAGGGCATCTGTGCTTGCTTTTTTCTCTGCTTGGGATGCTTTTCCCCCGATCTTTGCATGTTTGTTTCCTTTTCATGAAGGCCTCAACTCAGTTGTGATCTCTTTTGAAAAGCCATCACTGGCCACACTAGCTAAAGCAGCCTCCTGGTCATTCTCTAAGATAAACCCTATTTCATTTTCTTCATACTACTTAGCGTACCTGAAATTACCTTTATTTATATGTTTATTGTTGCTCTCCATACCTCCTGAAATGTAAGCTCTTAAAGACAAGGAATTGTGTCTCGTATTTGTGCCCAGAACACTGCCTGATACACACAGTAGGGTATCAGATGTGTGCTGACTCGCTCATCTGTATAGTGTCATGGCATTGTCTTTCTTGCCCCTGGTGTTCCAGGTTACTATACTTCTCTCTTTTAAAAGTGCCATGCTTTTTCTCAACTGAGGACTGTTGCACCTGCTGTTTTCTATACCCACCCCAGACCCTGTGCTCACTCTCCATTTGTGCTCATCTTTCAGAAATCATTCACTTACTTAGAGTGGGTTTCCGTGACTCCAGTCTAGGTTAGGTTTCTCTTTAACATGTTCTGTATCACCCTGTATTTTTTTGTAACAGTCACCACACTTAAAACTATTTGTAAGCTCTGTGCAGGCAAGGACCAAGTTCTTATTGATCTCTACTTTAGCACTTAGTTTCTGGCATACATCAAGGATGCAAGTCTTTCTGAACAGAATGAATGAATACTGATTGAACACAAGATTGAGAGGATCAAATCAAGTAAAAATTAGGAGGGTAGTTAGTATGAAGTGTAAATCAGCTGGATCTGCTGTGCCTATTTCAGAGAAGTTTTTGGTTTGTTTAAGACAACAGATATGAAAGCATTGTATAAACTGGAGGTGCTTTATAAATATAACATTTTTTTCCTTTTTTTTTTTGCTAAGGCCTAGTCAACATCCCAGATTCCTATGGTCTGATGGCCTTTCAAAGTGCAAAGCTTTCTGTTTCTTAGCAATAATTTGCCTGATTCTGTTATTTTAGATCTATGCTCAGGTGGTAAATTATAAAGAACTGAGACTAATATTGAGTCTAGGCTAGTTTGTGAGGTAACCACATTCTTGACACCCTTCATTCAGCTGGACTACCTTGCTTTAGCACTATATCTGAGGTTTAGTCTGGCCCTTATTGTGTGATGTTGGCCAAATCAGATTATCTCTTCATGGCAGGTATATCTTTTTATAAACCTAGTAATTACAATTTTTTTCTTTTTAATTATCATGGGTACATAATAGTTTTATATCCTTTTTTATTTTTTAGACAGAGTCTCACTCTGTTGCCCTGGATAGAGTGCCATGGCGTCTGCCTAGCTCACAGCAACCTCAAACTCCTGGGCTCAAGCAATCCTTCTACCTCAGCCTCCCAAGTAGCTGGGACTACAGGTATGTGCCACCATGCCTGGCTAATTTTTTCTATTTTTAGTAGAGATGGAGTCTTGCTCTTGTTCAGGCTGGTCTCGAACTCCTGAGCTCAAATGATCCTTTTGCCTCGGCCTCCTAGAGTGATAGGATTACAGGTGTGAGCCACCACATCTGGCCTAATAGTTGTATCTTTTTAGGGTACATATGATATTTTGATACAGATACACAATGAGAATTAATCAAGTCAGGGTAATTGGATATCCAGCACCTTAGGCATTTATCATTTCTTTGTGTTAGGAACATTCCAATTCTACTCTTTTAGTTATTTTAAAGTAACTTATTGTTGATTATAGTCACTTTGTTATGCTATCAAATATTATTCTAACTATATTTTTGTACCCATTAACCATCACCACTTTATCCTCCCCCTCCCTGCTACCTTTCCCAGCCTCTGGTAACTATCATTCTATAATCTTTCTCCATGAGATCTTTTTTCTCTAATATTTAGCTCCCACATATGAATGACATGCAAGATTTGTCTATCTCTGCTTAGCTTATTTCACTTAACATAATGTTCTCCAGTTCCATCCATGTTATTGCAAATGGCAGGATTTCGTTCTTTTTTTGTGGCTATGTAATATTTCATTGTGTATGTGTACTACAGTTTCTTTATCCATTTATCCATTGATGGACACTTAGGTTGATTTCAAATCTTGGCTATTATGAATAGTGCTACAATAAACATGAGAGTGCAGATATCTTTTCAATATACTGATTTCCCGTCATTTCGATATATATGCAGTAATGAGATTACTTGTCATATGGTAGGTCCATTTTTAGTTTTTTGAGGACCTCCATATTGTTCTGAGTATAATTTTTGTCTCCCCTATATCTCACCAGAATTGGATTAAAGTTAGCAAAATATTTCAGATTTCCTAAGTGAAATTTATTCTCCTTATATAAAAAGTCATTTTCTTCTCTTTTTCTTTGAGAGACAGAGTCTTCCTCCATCACTCAGGCTGGAGTGTAGTGGCCCAATCATAGCTCACTTCTCTACCTTCCGGTCTGAAGTGATTCTCCCACCTTGGTCTCCCTAGTAGCTTGATTTATAGGTGCACACCACCACACTCAGCTATATATATATTTTTTTAAAATTTATATATTTTTATATTATATATTTATATGCATAAATATATAATATATATGCATTAATATATTATTTGTGTGTATATATATATATACATTGTGTGTGTGTGTGTAGACAGAGATCTCAATATGTTGCCCAGTCTGATCTTGAACTCCTGGTCTCAAATGATCTTCCAGCCTTGGCTTCCCAAAGTGCTGGGATTACAGGTGTGAGCCTCTGTGTTGGCCTTCTTTACTTATTAATTTAATTTCTTCACAATATGCCATTGTTTTATACCAAGAATGAAGCTGTATCTTTTGGAAGTTTTCTTTTTACACTTTCCTGTGTCTTTCTTATGCTACTTAGACCTGTAAGATAGGTACATCAGAGACTTAGAGTTTACAGCTCAAAATTGTAAAAGATGCTTCCTTTCTCTTTAGCTAAGGATATTCTCTCTACCATTTGTCCTTCTGAAACTATTGATGCTGCTGCTTTTAATTTTTCCTCCTCAAATTCCTTTTTACCATTTTTTTTTTTCATTTTTAATCGTTTTCCCTACATGTACTGCTTTAGGGCAACTCGCCCAATGGTGTAACTAAAAACTAAAAT